AGGAGAGAAGGGGGAAGGACCTGAGGAGAGAAGGGGGAAGGACCTGAGGAGAGAAGGGGCTCTAGAGGCAGACCTGCATCGATGGGAGAGCTACCTGCCAAGGAGGTCTCAGCAAGCCTGCTTTTCCCCAACTCACAAGCAACAGTGACATCTGTCCTGAGAGCCCTGAGCAATCTAAGCATCAGCAACCAGACTTCGAGTTTTAGGTTTATAATCCTGCCCAGGCTAAAGTGACAGGCAGGCGGCAGGCGACTGACTCTAAGGACAGAGTTACCCTTCTGCCCAGAAGTGACATTACTGTCCCTACTCCAGCCATAGGAAGCAGGCCCCTGACCCTGTCCCCCATCTGCACATTCCAGTTCTGGAAGGTATAGGGTCCTGCCAGAGGGCTTTTGCCACAGCAACTCAGTCTGATGGAAGAGATGCAGCAGAAATGGGGTGTAGTTGCCCTGGTGAGTACTGCAGGACCCTGGCCCTGAAGCCAGATCCCCATTTTCTCCCCACAGAACTCATAGCAAATGCCTATGAGGATCCTGGGTGCTATGTGGGCCTGAACACTGGCTCCAAATCTGAGGATATACCCTGAGAACATTTTAGAAAGGTAGCTGTCACCTCCCAGTACCTTCCCAAAAAGACAACATACACAAAAAGAGTTAGTTTGAGACATTTTATACAACTGCTTGAACAGCTGGAGAAATGCAGTGAGGGTGAATCAGGACAGTCAGTAGGGGAGTCTGACCTGAATCCTGGTCCCAAAGGGGCTTTAAAACTTGAGAGTTTCCTCTAAAGATGATTGTGTTTCTCCCCTGTTGGTACAGCGATCTAGGCCCAGAAGCATCCCCTGCAGCAGTTTGCAAGTGCTGGAAAATCCGGCAGCATCTTAACTATATAACCCAAGTAGTCCACAGAAATGAGCAGAATGCATTCACAATCAGAAATTCCAAGCCCCTCAGGAAATGACTCTGCAGGAGAGACCACTGGGGCAGAACGTGCTCGGAAATACACACTGCACGTGAAAGTGACAGCTTCCCAAACGTAGAGCGGACAGAACCAGGTGTACAAGTCAAGGCTGAGGATGAAGCTCAGCAGTTAAGAACACTGCTGCTCTTCCAGAGGACCCAGGTTTGGTTCCCTAGCACCTACATGGCACCTTACTGTAGAGAGCTTGTGTATTATACAGCTGCATCACCTGCCAATTAAAAAGTCTATGGGTTAGGCAGGAAACAGGAGGTGAAACATCCAGGAGGAGGAAGAATTCTGCGATAGAGCTAGGTGGGAGATTCACCCGGGAATATGTGAGGAGACAGATGCATGGTACCTGAGCATAGATAACCAGCACATGGCAGAATAAGTTAAAACAAATGGGTTATCTTTAGTTATGATCTAGTCAGAGTACAGTCTAGCTATATGGCCCAACTATTCGTAAATGTATTTTGAGTGTGAGACTTATTTATGAGAGCATGGGGCTGGGAGGAAGACCAGGTCTAACTTTTTTTATAACTTACAAAAGTCTGTAACTCCAGTCCCAGGACTCTCCTCCAATGTCCATAGGCACTGTAAAAACATGGTTCATAGATATACATGAAGCCAACACTCATACACGTTAAAAGATAAAGTTAATTGCATGCTCACTGAAAGAGCTGGAGGACACCAAACAACATGTCAGCAGCTACTAGCACCGGAGAGGAGTCCTGACTAACCTTGAATAAACCCGTCAGCATCCATCCACACCCCACATCCTATACCATATAGATGTAAGCTGTACACAAACTTCCCTAAACACACTGTTCAAACCCAAAACATATGCAAGCCACAGGTAGACAC